ATTATTATTATTATTATTATTATTATTATTATTATTATTATTATGTTATTTTTTATTATCCGTGAATGTTAGCAACTGGACAAATTGAATGCAGCGGTCAAGGAGAAGCGACCAGAATTGGTCGATCGTAAAGGTGTCATTTTCCAGCAGGACAATGCTAGGCCGCACACGTCTTTGTCCACTCGGCAAAAATTGATGGATATCGGTTGGGAATCGATGTTACACCCACCATATAGCCCTGATCTCGCGCCATCGGATTTCCACTTATTTCGATCCCTGGACAACTCCCTTCGTGGTAAAACTTTTAACGACGATGACGCTGTAAAATCTCACTTAACTCAGTTTTCGGCCGAAAAGGATCAGACTTTCTACGAGCATGGAATTTTCAAGTTGTCAGAGAGATGGCAAAAGGTCGTCGAACAAATTGGAAAATACATTACAGATTAAACTTCGTTCCAAGTAAAAAAAAAATTTTTATTTCATTGAACAAATCGGCAATTACTTAGTTGCCAACCCAATATAAAAACGATCCGCGAGGCTCGAGTCGAATCGTATCTCCTCTCCGCAAATTGTCCATTTCTGTGCGCAATCCGAGCGTCAATTAGAGAGACATTGCCGTACATCTTTCTCTTTCGCTATCATTCCATCTTCGACCCTGCTGTTCTCGCGACCAGTAGACAGTCTCGTTCGTCGGAGAATCGCGCAGGCTTCGTATCGCTGTCCACTATCGTTCCCGATCAAAGAGAATCGATCGTACGAAATCGCGGATCCCGGCAGATATCAGCTTGGCCAAGAAGCGCGATCGATCACGTGCCGCCACGACCAATGAAAAATTTACTTTCTCGACTAGCCCGCAACTGTGTCGGGTCAGCGAAGGGTCCGCGTGGGCCCGGACCCGGCCCGAAACACGTCCGTGCGGCTCTTTTCACCTGTACGTCCAAGCTAGACGAACGACGACGCGGCGTCTCGACGGCGAGTCTTCGGCTCGGCTCGGCTCTGCACGGCGTGTTTACCAATTGTAAATGTAAGAGGCAATCAAATATAAGTGTCACTGATACGGCCGAGTGTCGCCCGGAGGTATGCGAAGTTTCTTTTCCCGTTTTCGCCACACACAGCGCGGCCGGCGAACGGGCCATCGTCGCCGGTCGCGCGAGTGTGAAACACATCCTCTTCGCGAAATAAAAAGGTAGGATGCGACAAAGAAGAGAGAAGGTGGAAGAAGCGGAGGAAGAAGAAGAGGAAAGGGGAGGAACACGCGCGATCGGACAGGGCCCGATGGAATGCTGGACGCTGAAAGGTGTAACGGAACCTGTTCTACTGAACACGT